CCAAACTCTTCTCTTTGCCAACAAAAGACACTATAATCATATATAGTTATAACTTCACCAGCAAGGAGTCCAACAATTAACATGCTCCATTTCTTGTTTCAATGGTCTCAAGGCATTGAGTGGAAGTCAGGGGATGGGTCCTTCCCAGATACACATTTTTATAATTATTTGGAAAACAGACTTTCCCTCATAGTAAGGAACATATAAACCAACAGGCTAAAGGATATTTTTTTTTGAAAACCGAGAAATCAGTCTGTAATCCACCCTTTGGACCAATCACAACCTTCTAAACTCGGTGGATAATGGGCCCGCCCCTCTACCCTTCTCCACTTAATGCCAGGCTTCGTTTTGTATGGTGTGGGGCTTGAACTTGAGACATAAGTCACAAAACCTCCACCTTTTGCCATTCGAGCTAGGCCTTGGGGGCCAGCCAGGCTAGAGGATATTTTTGTGGCAGACTGACCGATAATTAATACAATACTGATCTGGCATTGATATTATATTGAAATTTTGACACCGATTGTGAAAAATCCTGCATAAGCCATTGGATAAGTGCTAGGTTGTATAAAACTCAAAATCAAGTTCACGTATGCCAGTTTATCAAACACACAGGGTGGTGAATTCCTTAAAAAATTAAAGTTGGTGGAGGTGTATCATGCAACTTGAGACATCCAACAGAAACAAAATCTTCAACAACATACATAGGTGACACATCTTTTCAGCGGAATCTTTATCCCATGTGAAAGAGGTTACTAAACAAGCAATTTCTCATAGAATAATTTCCCCAAAAATATATCAATCAACCCCTTTCACAACACAGATTGAAAAATCACTTTCTCAAGTGAAACATATACTGATACCCATACTAGCGTAATGCAAATCCATATAAACAGGGTCTTGTTGAATTTGGCACTCCTGCCTACTGGTTATTATCTGAAATTGATTCTTATATTGATAATGACGTGGAGCTGCAAAATATATATTTGTGATTGCACTGAACTTTTTGCCTTAATATTTAAGGTGCAAGTTCTCTTCTTTCAACTGTGTTTGTGCTCCTTGTTTCGTGCCAACTGGATTCCCAATAGATAATATGCATTTTCATTTTTCTTGTTTTATGGACTACAAATGTGATGTTGAACTTATAATTTCAGGTCCAAAAAGAGATATCTCCAGTAGTCCTGACTGTAGTCTCATGCTTAGTACCAATCCTTCAACATGCTGAGGTAATTTTCTGTTTCCTATCTAAGATTGAAATATTTTGTGATTGGTGGTTGATCCCGTTTGTCTTTTTATGCATACAATGCATGTATGCTGTGCCTAAATGTATTGTGTTTTGTTCTTCTCATTTTATACTTGGTTCTAAGAAGGGTCTCAACAAGTCACTGATAGAGAATAGCGCAATCACCCTCGGAAGACTTGCATGGGTTTGTCCGGAGCTTGTGTCACCACATATGGAGCATTTTCTGCAAACATGGTGTTTTGCTCTCTCTATGTAAGTTAACTCGTACTGCAACTGTTCGATTCATGGTGACTAGAAGTCCTGCATGCTCATGCATTGAAAACTTTAGAACTATAGGCTTTTTTTGCATGAAACAGAGAGTAATGTGGTCATGCTGACCAAGTTTGACTGAAGAGTTCTATTTTGGCTTACTCTTCTCCATATATTTGATGGCAAGACTCGAAACACCTCCATCTTAACATTGTCAATCTGAAGTTGGGTTGCTAATTCCTGAGACGCACGCTTTAGCAAATTTTTTATCAAGTTTGCCGAACTCCAAAATAATATTCCCTTCAGTCCCTTTTATGTGTCATCTTTGCCAAGATTATTGTCCAAGATTTGTCACTTTAGAAAATCAAGAAAGCATTAATAATATTCTTTCCAACTCCACCCTTACTATTCCAAGAAGGGCCATATAATCATTAATTACCCAATTAAGAAAAAGACGGGAATAATTAAGTCAAATTACAGCATTAAACATATGATTAATGCTTATCTTTCTTAATGGGTGTGTCAAAGCCTTAATTGACAACCTGAAGAAGTTTTATACCTTATAAAAGAAACCAGTGGGAATATTATTTTAATGATTGATAATACCACATGGTAAGAAGTAATAACGTTTTCTTTGAAGCCGTGGTATATGTTTTTGTTTTTATTATTCTGTAATACAAAAGGAAGTGCATGTTGAAGGTCTTAGTGTAAGTGGTTGAATGTCATTAGCTTTATTAGTGTTACTTTTCTTTTCAAGAGCATCAAGTTTTGAGAGGAAAAAACATAGATAAAAGGTGATAGTATCTTCGGCACCCATTCTTCGTTGCTGTATAACTAACACATTAATTTGTCAAGCTTGTTTGATAAGAAAAAAACTTCCTTTCACAATGTGAAGCTGTGATCTTCTCCTTTCATAGAACTGAATGTGTCAAAAACCCACCCATTCCTGACTCTCCTCTTGCATCAATATTTATCAGCATATTACAATGCACAAAATGCCTCATTGATGTCCTTCAATTTGTTCTCACTTTATGGCAGGATACGTGATGATATTGAGAAGGAAGACGCCTTTCGTGGTTTATGTGCAATGGTAGTTTCGTCTTCTGACATTGTCTCTTCGGTTCAGATCACAAAGAACTAACTACTGCTAAATTATTGTAAATTTCCTATTATTGAAAGCTATAAATTGCTGTCCTTTTGTTGGACCACTTATGGATGATGGCATCCTGAAGCTGAATTAACTTAGGACAGTACACATGATCTTATATCAACTGTTGAAGAAGTCCCGCAATGGTTAATATATGGCTTTGACAATCTCTCATTTTGAGCTAGCTTTTGGGGTTGAGTTAGTCTCGACATCCATTTCTTTACATGGTATCAGTGTAGGACACAACCCAATTCTCATTCACGATGTTGGACCCCCATATTAAAATTGCTCACACTTCAAATATCCAGCCATGGGGTGACCTGCGGTGTTGAAGAATTCCCACATCAGTCAATAATGGATGGATGGTCTCTTTATATTACTTGGGCAATCCTCACCTCTTGAGCTAGCTTTTGGGGTTGAGTGAGGCCGAAGATCCTTTTCTTTACACTAACCCAGATTTTATACTTGACGTACTACACATCATTCTAAAAAATGCAAGAAGTTGTCATAAATTGGAAACAAGTACTTGTTCTTTTCTAAAACCTGTTTAAAAGTTGTAATCTAACTGCAGATGTGTCTTGGTTTTTCATATTTATTCAGGTAAAGGCAAATCCATCAGGTGCATTAAATTCACTCGTCTTTATGTGCAAAGCCATTGCAAGTTGGCATGTAAGCTTTCTGTTTCTGTATTTTCAACCGTGGAAGAGAAACTCCGATATTATTTTTTCTTTGTTATCCTCATGTTGTGATCCTTCTCAGGAGATACGAAGTGAAGATCTACGCAATGAAATCTGCTTGGTTTTGCAGGGATATAAGCAAGTAAGCGTTGCCCAATACTGTAATTATTTCTTTTTCATCTGCTCTAGACGGGTATCTTTTCATGTCTTATTGCATTTTTACTCAAGAATTTGTGAATTGGTCTTGCTTTGTAGCACAGAGTAATTCTTCTTCCTTTTATCTAAACAAGGAAAACAATTATGGAGAGTAATTATTCTACATTTTTTTGTTTCTTTCTTTCCCTCCTTTTTACTTTTTAAGTTGCTTCCTGCCAATAGTTCTGAACATCTTTAGAGTTTGTTAGTTTCATCTGGAGAAGAACCAGGTGAAGAAATGGAAACTAAGGAAGACCAATCTCATTTTTCTCACTAACTATCAGTGGTATAATGTTTAGGGTATAAAGATGTCCAATGTATTATTCTGAGCTTGGTCGTTACCAGTTTAAAAAAATGTATTATTTCTGAGCTTGGATACATTTTGTCAGATGCTCAAGGATGGTGCTTGGGAACAGTTCATGTCAGCTTTGGAGCCCTCAGTGAAGGACAAGTTGTCGATGTATCAAGTTTAGTTATTTATTGACAGAGTGGATCTCCCAAGTTTCAATGCATGTTGTCATCTCGGCTGTATGACACTTCACATCTATGGATCTATTGGCTTTGTGTTGGTGTTACTCTTAACATTGTCAGATTGTTATTGTTGCCATGCATGTTGATCAAACAGTCTTGGGTTCAATTTCATCCAGGCAACATTCTCATTGAAGATTGAAGCTATTTTTATTCTTCAAAGCTTCAGGGCTGCAGGTTTTGGGCACAACAATTGGAGAAGCTGAGGTTTGACAAATTTAGTGTACAGGTGTGAATGCAACAATTATATTTGATTTTGTTGGTGTCTGTCCTGAAGGGGCGAGATCCTAAATCTTAAGATAATTGGGTGTGAGAATTTTATATTGGGTTGAAGAGCAACTTTTCCTGATTTTATCTTTCCATTATAAGGTCCCATTGGTTGATTTTAGACTACGATATCATAGCTAGATGTCTCAGAATTTGTTGATCCACCTTCTCATCTGGAGGTTTGAAAGTGATGGTCCGTTGGGAGGTATGAATGATCTCGATGGTGGGCGAGAGAAATAATTGTTGTCTGTACTTTGTGGTTATTGGTAGAGGGGTTTAAATTTTATGTATCATTTTAAAGAAAATATTATGTCATTTTATCCTACACGATTTTTTAGTACCGTCTAAAGGAAGATGAAAAAATATTTGATAGTTATAACTAGAAATGGAATGCGAAATTCAAAGATGCTGTATTGAAAATTCTGTGTTAATTTTTTAATTGAATTTTGTTTGAGAATTGTTTCTTTGAAATATGAAGTATCACCCCTTTATTGAAATGTGTTACATCGTGTATATCGCTGTCTCCATATGGGAAAATGTCTTTAGCCATAGACAGTCAACTGACACGAGATTGAAGATATTTCCTGGGATATTCAATCGTGGTAAGTGAGAGGACATGATGCTGTGGGGAACACTCACTATCAAGGCCTCTTTTGTATCTGTTGATTATGAAGTGCATTTACAGTATGTTCTCTTATCACATTGCTGCATTTTCAATTTTTTCCCAAATTTCTTTCCTTCTCATCTCTTCTATGCGTTCACTGGCTTCTTGGATTTCAAGCTGTAGAAGGCACTTGGAATAGAGAAATGGTGCTAGAGCTTCCAGCATTCCCTTCACATTCTCCGTCAATTCCTTAACACTTTTGCTCCAATGTCCTTGCAAGTTCTTCTCCATCCCTTCCACTAGAACTGGAAAGACTTCTTCCATTGCTTGTGATAACATCTTCCAGAATTGCTCATTGTTCCACACATACAATGCGCGTTCAGCAACCTAAGATCAGAACCATTAGTTTACTCCAACATCATCTCTTACATAATTGAAATCCAACAAGTGTAGGTTTGGGATGACAGGAAAATGTCTTTCATCAAATGGGAGTAAAATGGCTTCTCTCATATGGATGTTATATCAATTCGTACTACTTAAAATCATCATAGAAATCACCCATTTGCAAATATTATTAATAAACATTTGAAAATTGAAGATGAACAATTTTTCTAATGGTTAACCTTGAACAGTACGCCAAGTCCAAAGAACAGTAATTTACCTGCGAGTTCCAACTGTTTAAACACTTGGTAATTTTGGTGCACAAAGGCAGGGCAAGTTCCTTGTACAATTGTGGATCAACAGTCTCCACAAGTTCTTCCAATTCACCGATAAACAGAACTTCCTTCTGGCAATTGGTAATTGGCCAGTACTTCAATATGCCTCTTATAACAACCTCACCAAGCTCAGGCTCTTTTTGCACAAACTGAGATACACAATAAGTCAACTGCCTATGATAAACTTGCATCCCTTTTGGTTTATGCAAAGGGACAAGAACTCTATTCAAGAAAAACTTGTGTTCTTCTTTCAAAGGAACACTAAATCCATTTATAATTGTGCCCCATATTTCAAGAAGCTCTCCGATTCCAGGGTGCCTTTGATCAGTCTCGAAAACATAGTGCAAGAATACATCATGCATAGTCTTTCTCATGAATGGTCTGTAGAATGTTAACTTTGAATAGATTCTGTGGAACACATTCTTTAAGTTGTCGCGTTCTCTTTGATCTTCAGATTGGAACAACGTGAGGAGACTAAGGAGGAAAGCATGGTCTATGTAGATACGAAGCGATTCAACACTTGTTCTACTGACAATCCTGAGGAAAATGTCGTAAACTATTTGCAAATGTGGCCAGGAGGGTGTTGGATTGCTGATAAGATCATCGTCATCCAGTAATACTGAGACGGCAGAATGAATTGGTGGAGGGAGAGGCCTAAAAAGATTAGATGACAACATTATGAAAAGGGGTGACAGTACTTGATCATCAAGTGGTCTAATGAGAGTCTTGATGATGGAAAGGAGTTGGATGAGTTTTAGCCTCTTTAAATCTTGTAGTGAAGGGGATTCTTGTGGATCAGTGAAAGAACAGTAAGATATTACAGAAAGCATTTCCTCTGTCTCAGAATCAAGAAAATTTGTCATGTTCCTTGAATCTAAAAGGAGTTGTTTTAGAGTTGTGTTTGTTTTTCTTGGAGAATTTTTTGGGCTAAATGTTTTCCTTGGAGAGTTTCTTGGGCTGTTTCCATTTAACCCACTCATTGTTCCTTTTGCCACTTAGATGGAAAAGACTTTCTGAATAACCTATCTCTCTCGATGAATCGATGTCAGTACTTACCTCAAAAGAGTATTTGGAAACAAATGTAGAAGGTTGGAGTGAATGGTTAATGGTTTATTTAAACGCACTAATTCTTTCTTGGGTAGTGTAAAACAGGAACAAGATATACGATGTTTAAGAGGAAAGACTCTTGGAAATGTCCGATATTTAAGAGGTCTCTTAGAGTGAAGACAGATAAGGTGAACTTTGTTCTTAGCTCTATAGGCTTTTTATAGATACTGATATCTCATCACTTAGTCATCAAACTAACTATGCATACAGTTGGATATTATTTTTAAAAATTTATATGATATGTTATCTATCAACAAGAATGGCACCAATGGAGTGAGCATTCCGTAGTTTAGGACTAACCGTTATGCATCTTGGTGTATACATCCATCTCCCATTTCTGATATGCAAGTCAGATGTTTACTGATTCACACACTTGAATACAAACCAAAGTAGACTAAATTGTTCACTCTGCCATGGGTTCAAGTTGAACATTCTTAATTGTCCCAAATTCAGCAAAAGTGAAAAAATACAACAAATTCAATGCTTCTAATATCAAGAAAAATACTACTGTAGTTCCATTCATCACTTTAAGCCTCAACAACCTGATGATAATTGGTCTGTAGTTCTACAAGATCAGAGCTAACAGAGAAACTTAACCATTTCTTCTTGTCACAATAGATTAGACAAGGCTGCATAATAAGGCCAACAAGAATAGCTAAGAAACTGACAATCATGACCTTAAATGAACACAGGGCTATAACAACAAGAAGAAATAATGTTGGCGGCAGACAAATTAAAATTGAACCAATTGTTCCTAGTGGAATCCTATAAGGTCTTGATGCTGCTGGATATTTTATCCTTAACTTGACAAAACATAGAAATTCCAAAATCATTCCGAAACAGTTCATGAAGTTCTCAGCAGCCACAATTTCTTGAAAACTAAGGCAAGACAGCAGCACAACACCTGATGCAGAAAACAAAATACTGATAAAAGGGGTTCCATAATGCGATCTCTTTGCAAAAAATTCAGGAAGCATCCCCCGTTCTGCCATTCCCAAAAGCTGATATGAGTCACCACTCATCTCAGCTAAAAACATTCCCATATTTGACACAGCCGAAGCCCCTTGAACCCACCATCTTAACCATACTCCTCCAATGATCTTAGCAATATCCGAGAAATAACCATCACTCCAAAGATCACGATGCAACGGAACAGCTCCCGTGCCAAATAAAAGAGGGAAAAAGTAAACAGAGACAACTAAAGGAAGTGCGTAGAATAAAGCCTTAGGAATTGTTTTGCCAGGATCCTCCACTTCCCCTGCCATAGTACTCACTGAATCCCAATAATTCAAATTCCAAAAAAGTGTATTTAGATACAATCCCCATTGTACATTTTCTAAATCCATAACAAACCATCTTGAAGGTTCCAACTTAGGAAGCGCGATAACTCCCATTATTAGAAAAGGAAGGAGAGTAAATATCGCTAATACTGTAGCAACCCAAGCAACAATAGTTAAACCTCTATAGTTCAAATATGTAAGTGCAATAACCAAAGCAACAATGACGATTGTTCTTGGTAGACCATTTGCCAATGCTGGGACAGAAGATTTAATGTAGTCTAAAAATAAAACAGGGTACAATGCGTTATCAACTACACCACTCATCCATTTCACCCATCCTAATTGAAATCCCCAATACGGACCAAAAGACTTTGAAACCCAAACAACATATCCTCCGTTTTCGGGGAACATAGTGGATAATTCTGCAGTTATTAGAGACTCTGGAATGCTCCATACAATAGGAAAAATTAAATAGCCAACAAGTGCTAAAAATGGACCGGCTGCACGGACAGTATCTTCAACTCCAAAAGGACCACCAGAAACACCATAGAATATAAGAAATGTAAGAGGAACAAATGAAAGCTTGGTGAAGTTCGCTCCTCTAGATAAACTCGAATATTTTTCTGCCTCCATTTGATCACCTCTTTGTTCCTATACAGCGTATCAAATTATGGGTTTTCAAATGACACATCATTGGCCTAAATTTGAATTCCTGCGAAACTCAACTTAAAGTTAAGTATTTATAGAGTATCAGTATTTGCCCAAAAAAAGCTATAGGATTAAGGGATGAGTTCTTTACCTGTGAAGATAACAGAGCAAAGTCAACTATCTGCAGTATAGTTATGTGAAGAAGAACGGAGGGGATCGTTGAGGAGAATAGACGGTGGATATTAAGTGCTAGGACACGTGTCAGTGATCAGGGGAGGAACATTAAATAAATATCCTTGGTCTCCTGATTATATCATATAAAGATTCCACACATGTTTGAAATTAGTTGATAACATTACACGGTGTGTTCCCTAAAGTGTTAGGGGAACTTACTTTCATAATTTCTTTAAGAAAAAATGAACTCAGCTTCAAAATAATTTATTTATGTTGTTCATCAAATGCTAACATTTATAAGGTATTTTTTGTGGTCAATTTTTGAATGTATACCTTATTATGAATAACAATTAAGTAAAACTTGTGTCTCAAAAGCAACATACTTAAGTTATAATTTTTGTTTGATTAATTTAGTAGGTTCACTATATTAACATTGAATATAAATGACTAACCTCTTAATAATTTAATTAATTTTAATTTTTTTATAAATAATAACAATGTGTCATTTCAGAATAGTAACTAAGAGTAAAAAAAACAATTTTAAATTAATATTATTTTTATGTATATATTTATGATCTCTTATTATAATATAATTTTATTAAGAGGTCGTTTCTTAAAATCAAAATAAATAATTAAATTAATGGCATGAATTGTACTCAAATCATTTATCTATTTTCTCAGCTGTTTCCCAAAACTAAACTTGGCATAAGATTCAGTTTGATTGGACAACTGGCCCACTTCAAATGGGTCTTTCAGCCCATTCTTCAATCTCTCTCTCTATATAGAGAATGTGATGTTCAATGAAGAAAGAGGAGTAAGAGAAACCGGCGATTTTGAGGTGAAAGGTGATAAATGTTTATCTCTACTCTATCGAAACTTCCGCAGGTGTTATCTTCAATTCGTTATCATTTTGATGTATATATGTTAGTCATTAGAGTTAACGAAAGACTTGATTGATGAACATCTGCCAGTTGTTTGAAGAAATGCCTCAGTGAATACCAACTCTCTTTTTTTTTTTAATTTAAAAAGTAGAATTTTTCTATTTAGATGTGATGAAAACCACTAATAAAATAATGGGCCATGAGTTTTCTTGATAAAAATGCGTTCTAATTCTTGGAAGCTCACTTAGACGTGTTCTGTTGTATTATATGGATGGATAACTATTGGTAGGGCTTTAGCTGGGCAGACAATGAGTATTGGATTGCCTCTAAGACCCGAATAACATTGAAATTTTCTCTAATTACTGATTAAAAAAATCGAGTTTGTTTGTTAGAAAATTATGATATTGAAATTTTAAGTTCAAATACTTATCAATCACAACCCAACTTTGCTTGATTCACAATCCAACTTAAATTTGCATTTTTAGTCGATTTTGGTTTTATCTTGAAATTTGTGGATGGAAAAACTCTCTTAATGGAATTTGTTGCATGCTAGAGTGTATTGGTATGGTGGAGGGAGTATGTTCAATTTGTCTGTTGCATTCTGGACCCAACTTATCTATTTTATGGTATTGTACTAGAACTAATACTCTGTCTAATTGATAAAGGTCAGGGTATGCTGAAACTAGTTTCTGAAATGTTGTGCGCTCGAGGAGGTCAGAAGATGAGGTCTTTTCTATGTGCGCAAATTAGTGGCTTTCATACTTCAAAGGTAAAATGATTTTGCGTTGATGCTACTACTTCATGCAGCCTTTCTATTTTCATATGTGCATATATAGCTTTGGCAGGAAAGAGAGCGAACGAACATTCTTGCTTCTGTCTTGTTGACTTGACTGGTTTTCCAATAGGACATGGCTATTTAAATCTAAGCTAAACCAGTTGTTACTTCTGAGGTTTTTTGTTTGTTTTATCCACTGGTGTGTTTATTTATTGTTTGAACAAAGACGGTCTTTACGTAAAACAAATGCTGAATATTATGGTAGGAATGCCACAAATTACACAGGAATTAGTATAATCTTCTTGTTTTCATACTAAGCTTGTTGAATGAACTCTATCTTATCAGAGTGTCAATTTTCATATTGAGATAAATGACCGAATTAGTCAAGAGTTAATTGTTCTCTAGAGAGTCTAGACTCTTAACAGATAAACGTTTACTGACATTGTCTCTCCTTCCATCCCAAGTTTAATTATCTAGTTTTGCAAGTTGCATATAATTAGAGATTAAATGAATTTGAATAGTTTTAGATCTCTAATATCAGAGTCATGTACAGATGTGTTTGGAAATTGTTGAACCATGTAAATGTGAAACAGTTGTTGTGAAGATCTCACGTCAGCGATATGATCGAGCAGTATTTAGATCTTCATTAACACATATCTAACTGAAAAGCTGTTCTATATAGTGTCAAGTATCTGGGAAGGTATTCTGTGATGATAGAATCAAGTAACTGTGAAAAGGTGAAGCTGCAAAGGTAGGTTCTTGAGAATGTTGGCCATTTCTAAATTGTAATGAATATGTTGCAATGCATATTATAATCTACTGGAATAATCATACCCTGGACATAAAGCATTTTGAAGCAACCACCATTTTGTTGAAATAAACTCTTTATTGTTGATTTTCCTAGTTGAGGAGTCGGTTGGTTTTTCCTCGGTTGTGAGGATGCTTATATAGAAAGGTACTTGTAATGTATATATGTGATTGCTTAGTTGACAAAAAGA